TCCCCCCCCCTCCTCCCCCGTTCCTCTTCCTCCACCTCCACCTCCATCTCCCCCTCCACTACAACCTCCTCCTCCTCCATCCATCCATCCATCCATCCATCCATCCATCCATCCATCCCCTACCTGCCCCCAACTCACCGCAGGAGCAGGACGACGGTCTCGGGGAGGAAATCGTCCTCTTGTCAACTTCCGTCAGCAGGACGAACAATTTCATAAATGAAGACAATGTAAGTTGAGTCCCACGATGATCTCCCTTCAGCCACCTTCCTATTTCTTGTTTCTCTCCGATACAATCCCTTCCCTTCCCTTTACCATACCTTCCTATTCCTCACCTTCCTCTCCCCTCCCCTCCATTCCTTGCCTTTCACACCCTTCTTGTTTCTTCAAGTCATTCAGTTTCCCATCAGGCGCGGGACTCGGATTCAGCACTTCGAAGCAGAGGCATTCCGGTACCTTATCCTCCTCCTCTTCCTTCCCCCCCCGCCAAGTCCATCTCCTCTCCTCCTGCTCCTACTGCTGCAACAAGTTCACCACCATCGCTACCTCCTCCTCGACCGCCACCACCAATCCCTCCTCCTTCCTCCCTTCCTTCTGTCCTCCTCTCCTCTCCCCTTGACTTTCTCCTTTCACCGGTTTTCAGATCGTACAGCAGCACGTTCCCTCTGGCAGGCCACAGCCCAAGACCTCACTTGCCAACCGCTCCGTCGACGAGGCTCCTCCTGTCTCCTCCTCCTATGGACGCTCACCCTCGCGCGAGCCGAGGAGGGGACCAGGATCCGGCTCCCCTCATCCTCTCCTGTTACAGGCAAGCAACAACGAGTTCCAGGTAGTGGGGATGGGATGGCGGTAGCGGCGGGAGAGAGAGGAGGGAGGAGAGAAGAGGGAGGAGGACGCAGGGAGGAGGGAGGAGGCGAGGTCAATAAGGTGTGGGTGTGGTTGCGAAGAGGAGGGAGGCAGCTGAACGGATATCGCGCTTGCTAGGTGAACATCTGAACGCAGCCGGGGAAGGGAAAGGGAGGAGCAGGAAGGGATGGAGGTCCATAGTTACGCAGCGTCCCTGTCCTGTAGTTGCCTTCCCTGTTGCTTCCTTTCCGCTTGCTCCCTTCCCCTTCTCTCTCTTACCCTTTGAGCTTGTCTTGGCCTACCATACACATAATTGAGACCCTCTCTGTCTTTATCCTCCTCCTTCCTCTCCAGTCTCCTCCAAGTTCCCAGAGAAACGAGAAATCTTCACTTCCTTTATTGTACATCCTACTCCCACTTTACATACTCTCCCTCCTCCTCCTTCCCCCCCTCCTCTCACGCCGACAACCCTTCCGCCTTCCTCTTCCCCCATGGCATCGAGTGTCTCCTCCCCGTTGTCGCTTTCTCTCGGGCCTTGAGCACGCTGCCGAGAAGCATGTCGGAGGGCTTGGCGGGAGGGGCGGAGGGCGCGTCGGTGCGGGAGGGGTCGCGGGGGTCAAGGAGGTCGGAGGGGGAGGAAGGGGAGGGAGGGGCAAGGAGGAAGAAGGAAGGTCTACGAGAAGGGAGGTAGAAGCGCTCGTCCTTGATCTGGATGCTGATAGCGGAGGAGGGGGAGAGGGATCGGCACATGGTGGCAGACGGAGGGTTTTGGAAGGAAGCGAGGGGAATGAGGGACGGGAGGGAGGTAGGGAGAGGACGTGGGGGAGCGGAGGGAGGCAGGAGGGAGCGGCGGGAGCGGCGGGGAGAAGATTGAAGGACTTGCAGGGTAGGCGGGGAACGATATAGAGAAAGGGGGGAGGAGGCTGATCCTGCTGACAGTGAAAAGTAATGTTATCTGGGTATTGATCACGGCCTGCTGACAGGCTGACATTGAGGCTCTTTGTTTGCTTACAGCCCAAATGCCTGGCAAGGAATTGTGGATGAAAGAGAGTCATTTCACAGAATTAGGAACATGTCGGGGCCGGAAACATGCAACGGATGGCAGCTTGAGGAGATTGAAATCCCCAGATAGATACCCTCAGTGTCCCTTGTTTCCCAAATTCTTCCTTTTCGCATCAGCCCCCCGCCCTCCTTTCTTCCCTCTTGCCTACAAGAACTTGCCCCTACAAGAACTTTCCCCACCCGCCCCTCCCTCCTGCATCCCTCCGCTCCCCCACGTCCTCTCCCTCCCTCCCTCCAGTCCCTCATCCCCCTCGCTTCCTTCCAAGTCCCCCCGTCTGCCACCATGTGCCGATCCCTCTCCCCCTCCTCCGCTATCAGCATCCAGATCAAGGACGAGCGCTTCTACCTCCCTGCGCGTAGACCTTCTTTCTTCCTCCTTGCCCCTCCCTCACCTCCCTCCCCCTCCGACCTCCTTCGCCCCCTCGACCCTCCCGCACCGACGCGCCCTCCGCCCCTCCCGCCAAGCCCTCCGACATGCTTCTCGGCAGCGTGCTCAAGGCCCGAGAGAAAGCGACAACGGGGAGGAGACACTCGATGCCATGAGGAAGAGGAAGGCGGAAGGGTTGTCGGCGTGAGAGGAAGAGGAGGAGAGAGGGGAGGAGGAGGAGAGGATGTAAAGTAGGAGTAGGATGTACAATAAAACAAAGCATGAGAGAAACGTGATCGCAAGACTTAAAGTTCATTGTAGAAACACTTCCGACAAAAACATCAGTGACTCCCATGCTGTTCAGAGACAGTTCGCGCTCTTTGGCATCGGGTACATCAAAGTATGAAAACTTTGTGCGCAGTCAATAAAGCCATCTCGCCCGCAAAACATCAGCATAGGAAGCCAACACGATTTCTCCTGCAAGTAACCATTGGGATGCGTATGATGAGGCGCATTTCCCCTCCGTTTTCGACTTCACCTTCGTAGAATCTCACGTGAAAAACTCGAGGATGACAAACTTGCTGGGTTCGCAGAACAGATTCGACTTTATTTTGTGCTTCCATTATTGTACATCCTACTCCTACTTTACATCCTCTCCCCCTCCTCCCTCTCCCCCCCCTCTCACGCCGACTACCCTTCCGCCTTCCTCTGTCCCCATGGCATCGAGTGTCTCCTCCCCGTCGTCGCTTTCTCTCGGGCCTTGAGCACGCTGCCGAGAAGCATGTCGGAGGGCTTGGCGGGAGGGGCGGAGGGCGCGTCGGTGCGGGAGGGGTCGAGGGGGCGAAGGAGGTCGGAGGGGGAGGGAGGGGAGGGAGGGGAGGGAGGATGGAGGAGGAAGGAGGAAGGGAGGTAGAAGCGCTCGTCCTTGATCTGGACGCTGCTTGCGGAGGAGGGGGAGAGGGATCGGCACATGGTGTGTGGGGGTGGTTCTCAGGGATGGATCTCTGCGTGGCTGTGGAGGTTCTGGGGAAGGATGACGAACTTGAAGAAAGGCGCTGCAAGCACGGGGGGCAGAGGCGAGGAGAGTGTCAGCGAAGGGGGGCCGAAGAGTCTCTAATGACCGAAAACCAGGTTTTTCGCACAAGCTGATTTACTTGGAAGTTTCCAGAATTTCTATGGCTGTTCTCAAACTGCAAAGCAATGTCTTTCATCCTTGCTAACATTTTCTTTGAGGCGGGTCCGTCAACAAGACCATTGACAATACTGCTAAAATGATGGTTGCCGTGTTGGTTGGCACAGTCACATCAAGGATGTGATGTCAAGTCAATGCTGTAGTGAATCAAAGTTGTCTTCGATAGCATCAGCTTAGATGGTATGACGCAACAAGAAGGACGGACGTGATGGCGTAATGTCATGTCGTCAGTGCTGAATGCTTCTGGAGCTCAGTAGGGTTTCCTCATTACTGGGTAAGGACACACCGAACGAGGTTGTAAGGTTGTTCCATGTGCATTTCAATATTTCATTCGGCTCAAACACAAAAAATAAGGTTTAGCTTGAACGAAAGTGGCAGGTTCAAGTCGAAGAACTGACTCCTCCATTCAAATCCTGAAAGGTACAAGCAGTCATTTCAAGTCAACGGCAGTCTTGAAGACAGAAGAAGTCTGAATACATGAAAGAAATGGCATCTCAAACAAGGAAACAGCAATACGGTGATGAAAAGATTACCCTGCATGAATTTAGAGACGGTTGGCCATGTCGAACAGAGCGTCGCTGTAGTGATGGGAGCGAAGGCTAGCATGCTGGAAGGGCTTCAACAAAGAATGCTTGTTCAAGTTGGAAGGCGGGTTGGAAAGGATTGACTGGCTGCAATCCTGCCATATCGTCATGAAAAGATAGAAATAACAAAATTCATACATTGCCATATGGCTGATCACCAAATTATTGAAGTTGAGGAATCGAAAAGCACGAGTCAGGAAACAATCGTAGAGAGGGTACAAGTCAGAAATGTGAACTTCAATCAGGGTCAAAGAAAGCAATGATGAATCTCACCCCCTGTCAAGCAAAAAGAAGAACGTCAGATAAGTAAAATCGTATGTCCCAACGCAAATCAAAACTCCGTAAAACACAATGGAAGCATTTGAGGCATATAGATCGATCATGGTCTTGTAACCATCAGATCAATGTTTGAGGATCGAGAAGAACATGACCAAAGAGCGTGGAGTACGTGAACTCACACAAGCATGAACGATGGTCATCTTCTTGATGGATGGCGCCTTCTCGAGCATCGTCAGCATGGCCGTCGTCGTGCCTCTTCGTTCCAAAAACGGTGTTTTAAATATAAATAGAGTGTTTTAGAAATTAACCAAGCTGTACAGGATTCTCGATTTGGCTAAAATAATTTGTTCAGAGAATTTTCAAGAAAATAGTTATAGTAGTCATAAAAGGATATACTTGTCAAATGGTACTACTTCCTACTGACCGTTCTTGTACTACAAAACATTTACTTACCTGATCTGGTACTGCTGTATCGAACTGGTGCTCCGTCAGAGGGACTTCTGGTCAGCCTTCATTTGCGGTTACGCTGGAATGATCAAACGGACGGCCTGACCGAGTTCCGATGTAGTTACTACTACCAGCTCTAGCAGGAGGACAAGGTGGGGGGGGGGCAAGGAGAGAAGGATAGAAGAAGCAGAGGAGGAGAGGAGGAGAGGAGGAGAGGAGGAGAGGAGGAGAGGAGGAGAGGAGGAGAGGAGGAGAGGAGAGGAGGAGAGGAGGAGACTCGGAAGGAGAGGTCACTATGGCTGGTTACGTAGGTGGGCTCAATGACTGTGCTTCGCGGCTGGAACATGAGTTACAGCATGGGAAAAGAATTGACGGAGCTAAGATCCATGACTGCCCCGACCTTCACGTTGGAAGGGCATGCAGGACTGAAGGCGAAATGAAGACAGCCGTGGGTTTAAAGTTTAGCGAGATGACAGCGAGATGACAATCATGTGGAAGTTTGAAAGAAACAAAACTAAACATCGTTGTGAATTAGAGACTCGTTGAGGTGCTACAGGGAGCGAACTGACAGACAATACTGTTATCATGGCATTGCTGACGGATGTGTTAGCATAGTTCCAGCTTACAGGCAGAGAGAGCCAAGCTTGAACACACGGCAGGACGACACAGCATCTATGAGCATGTGCTAGGCTGAGGCTGAGCGATAAATAAGCAGCTGCTTTCAGACTACATCGGTGAGTGGGAGGGAGGATGAAAGGAGGTGGTGGGAGCTGGCACTGTTGAAGCTCTTGTCGTGACAGGAACTTATCAGACTCTCTGCCACCATGGAGGAGGGAACAGAAGATCTTCGGAAGGAGCTGTAGGAGGTTGCTCATGACGTGCTTTGCTTGACTGTCTCGACAGGTTGGCAGCAGGAGCAGTGTCGTTCGAGGATGAAGCAGATGAGGGAATAAGCTTGCAGGACATCCTGACGTTGAAGGAAAGATTCGATAGCGCAGACATCGATGGCGGAGGGAGTCTCGACATGCAGGAGTTCATGGACGCGTTCGGCTCGATCCTGAACAAGGATGGCTCCTTGACAAGAGAACAGATAAGGCGGTTGTTCATGCAGATCGATGCGAACTCGGACGGAGTGGTGGACTGGAACGAGTTCAGCACGTACATGCTGATGGAGAGTCAAATGAGCGGGTCGCTCGTCTCAGAGAAGATCTCCAAGTTCTTCATCTCCGACACCTCCGGCCTCAAGCAGGACGACGAGAACTCCCACAACGAGCATGTTGACTGCCTCGTCATCGAGCCCTCGGGTCCCTCCTACATCACCAGCTCCAAGGACGGCACCATCAGAATCTGGTCGCAGGCGTCTCTGACGCTGCAGAAGACCATCTCGCTAGGTGCCTGCGAGCCTGCGAGGCCCTCCTCCTGCTGACTTCCTCCCCAGGCAAGACGTGGGTGCTCGCGCTGTGCCTGCTGCGACATGCCGCGAAGCTGGTGCTGAGCACCGACGACCGGAAGATCAAAGTCTTCGATGTGCACACGTGGGAACAGTCCGTGGAGGTGGAGCTGTCAGGGCAAGCATACTGCCTGTGCTCATGGCGGAAAGACGACACGGAGTACATCGCGTACGGCAACGAGGTCGGGGACGTGACTGTGGTGGACTACGAGAAGGGGGTGCGAGACTTCCGGAACGATCACTCGATGAGGAAGGGCAAGAGGAGAGCGAGCAACTGGGCAGTGTCGTGGACCCGCAACATCCACAGCGGGTGGATCAACCAGATCTCGATGATCGAGGACCTTGGGGGGCTGGTGACGTGCAGCACCGACGGCGCCATCAACATCTTCGAATTTCCCTTCCAGAACGACCCGGTCAAGAAGGACAAGGTCCTGATGAAGCGCGTCCTCACCCCGCAGTACAAGGTGAACCAGAAGCCCATCAAGTGCTTCGTCTGGGTGGAGTCTCTAAAGCTGATCGTCAGTGGGGGAATGGAGCGAGAGGTTAGCGGGCTCCTTGCCCCTTCTCCCTCTCTTGACGCGTCTGCTCGCAGCTGACAGTCTGGAACCCTTACACGTCGAAGCCGGTCACGAAGCTCGAGGGCCACATGTCAGGAATCATCATGCTGCAAGTGAACTCCGACTACGACCAGGTGAAGTGAGAGGGAGGAGGGACAGGGAGGGAGAAGAGAGGGAGAGAGGGAGAGAGGAGAGAGGACAGAGGCAAAGGGGGAGGACAGAGGCAGGACAGGGACAGGGACAGGGACAGAGACAGAGACAGGACAAGGACAAGGACAGGGACAGGGACAGATGGAGGATGATAGTTGTTGTGGATGCAGGTGATATCTCTGTCCAAGGACAAAGTGGTCAAAGTCTGGGACCTTCGGAACGGGGAAGGGCTCCAGACTCTCTCTCACTTCAAGAATCCTGCGCTGAGGTAGGAGGCGGTAGAGGGGCAGGGCCCTGCACGTGCGCTGATCCTGCAGCAGGCCGACGGCCATCCTGTTCGACCAGGCGCGCGGTCGGCTGATCACCTGGGGCTGCAGGCATCACATATGGAAGATCAATCCGCAGATCACGAACCCGGTCAACGACGAGACCCACAACACTCCCGTCGTCGCCGTCCTCTACAACCGCATCTTCGGGAGTGTCGTGACCGTTGCCGAGGACTCGGAGACGATCGTGTGGAGGCCGCTGACGGGGCAGCAGATCTCCTCCTTCCATGACCCCGACCGGACGCCCGAGACGTTCGTGTCTTGTGCCTCCTTCGACGAGGCTGGGAGGAGGCTGATGACTGGCGATCACGAGGGCAGGGTCCAGGTGTGGAACTTCAGCAACGGCGCCTGCATCAAGACGCTGCTGAAGCCCGTGGACAAGCACAGCAGGCAGGAGGTCACGGCCGTCACCTCCTACAGCTTCGAGGAGAAGCGCTACATCGCGGCCGCGAGCTGGGACAGGAAGGTGACGATCTGGCTGGACAAGTCGGAGGACGCCGGGTCAGTGTACCCACTGATCCAGATGTTGGGGAACGAGAGCGACATCCTGTCCATCGCCTTCTCCTACCCCAAGACGCTGGCGACAGGAGCGTCGGACGGGAGCATCGCCATCTTCGACATAGAGAGCGGGATCAAGCGCATCGCCATGCAGTCGCAGAAGATCCATGGGTTCACTCCCCGGGAATCGATGAACGCCAAGGAGCTCGCAAACACGCTCTACGTAGAGAAGATACTCTTCCTGGAGGAGAAGAACAAGACCATCCTCACCTCAGGGGCCGACGGTCACCTCCGCTTCTGGGAGGGAACTTGGATGACCATCTTGCCTGAATCTGCCAGCACGACGGGAACGAACAAGGTCGTGCTGCTGATGCCCGCAGAGCACTGGCCGGAGTACGGGCTGGTGGACCACCAGGTGGACGAGGACAACAACATCCTGCTGACTGCGGACGAGGGAGGGTTCGTCAAGGTCTGGGACATCTCCGAATACCAGTGGAACATGCCGGACCGGTGAGAGGTGCTTCGTTTCTCAGCTCAGGTCGCTCACAGAGGCTCAGGTCCCAGGTGAAGGCCTGCTACTTCTGGCGAGCCCACCAGATCAGCATCTCTGCGGTGGACGTCATCGTGCCAGAGCAGGACCCCGGAAACGAGCTGAATCCGCTCGTCCTCACCGCGTCCAAGGACAAGAGCGTGCTGCTGTGGACAATCGACGGGATCAAGATCGGGGAGTTCGGCAAGGTGACATGGAGGCTGGGGAGGCGAACCATGACGGTAAGCGCTCATGGCAGAACGTTGAGCTCAAGGCGGATGCCTGGAACCTGTTTGACACCAGCACCTGGTTGACTGACAAGTCCATCAACATCCTCGGGATGGACTATGACTACGAGTGAGTGACGCCGCCTTCTCCTGCAGCCGTCTGCGGCCGTCTCTCACTGCTGTGCCCCAGCTCGGACAGGAACGACGACTCGCAGTCGAGCAATGACGACATTGAGCATGTTCTCAAGGGGCTGGATGAGAGGAAATCTCCCTCCCTCCCCTCTCTCCTCCTCCCTGACGACCCGTTCTCAGGATCCGGAAGAGCAAGCCCGCCGCTCCTGTCCGCGCCATCATCTCCAACCTGACTGAGGTCTGGACTTGCCCCGCTGCCTGGCCGTGACTCGTTGCAGATCCCCCCAGAGACTCTCTACCGGGCGAGGAAGGGAAAGGATGTGGACTTCGAGACCGACTGGCTGACGGGGGAGAGGGTGTACAAGAACATCAGGAAGAACACGTTGCCGGAGGAGAAGCGGCGGACCCCCGTCCTGCCCTACGTACGGCAGTTCTCCAGGAAGCTTGACCCTGACAACATCGTGCCCTGATGATCGGAGGGGAAGGGAGGGGAACCGAAGGGGAGGGGAGGGGAGGAGGGGTGATAGCAGCATGAGGAGAGAAGGGGTTGTGGCAGTGGGAAGAAGAGAGATGTTATGTACAACAAGTGAGGAACAATGTGATGATGTGAAGAAAACTTCAACAGAGATGTTATGTACAACAAGTGAGGAACAACATGATGGGAAACTCGAGCGGGGTACATGCTCCAGCTCAGAGCTGCTTCCAGCCAAGACTCTCCTTGTGGGGATGAGCAGGAGGGAGAAGATGTTGAATGACTCCGTGCCTCCTCCGCGCTCTCTCCTGCTTTGAGGTGTTCTTCCTAGCCTCCTCCTCCTCCTTCGCTCCTGCATTTCAGATTATTCGCATCGTCGCCAGGTATCCTTCCTTTCGCTCTCACCACCATCATGCATTGCAATCTCTTGGTTATGAACAAACACGGACCTCCAACTGCGAAGATATCAACGGCTCACGAGCAAAAATGAAAGGTGGAATGAAAAGAGCACTTGATATCATCGTCGTTAGGAGTACAACTTGACTCTTTGAAGATGGACATGTAGTCTTTCGTGTAGATTTCCTGTAAGCAAGCTTAAGAACTCTCTTCCCGTGTCGCACATCACTGCAACCAGGATCTGCTCTAAGATACATGGCTCGACATCTGTGAGCAGGGAAACCTCGCCAAGTCTCCTATGTTTGCTCATGAACAAGGCCAGCGCCGCCTTGACAGGTTTGCAGGGAAGAGGAGCACGAGGAGTTGTTTGAATGATCTTCATCTCCTTCATCCTCTCATGCACTCGATGATGCGACACGTCCCATCCCCGTTCTCTCTTCAGTTCCAGCCATATAGTGTTGACGCCAGCCTCAGGCTTCAACAAGAAAATGTCAGCATGGGAGCTTGGATTTCACACCAAGGATCACCTTGACGCTCTTGATGCTCAGGATCTCATCCTCGAGAGTCTCGTCGTTGGGTTGCAGCCCAGTCTCACTTGCCTGGGAACGAAGCCGAGCTGAATTCTTTCCTGCCCGCCTTCCAGCTTTCCCTCGTCCCATCCAACCTGCTTGGATCAATCACATGAGCTCACTATTCCCCTGCTCTCCCTCCCCTCCCTCCCCTCCCTCCCCTCCCTCCCCCTGTTCTCCCTGCCCTCCCTGCCCTCCCTCCCTCTGCTCTCCCTGTTCCCCCTGCTCTCCCTCCCCTTCCTCCCCCTGCTCTCCCTGCTCTCCCTGCTCTCCCTGCTCTCCCTGCTCTCCCTCCCTCCCTCCACCTGCTCTCCCCTGCCCCCCCCTGCTCCCCCTCCCTCACCACCTCCCTCTCCCTCACCTCCTTTATGTGTCTAGCATTGTCGCCCGACAAACAAATTGGGTATGAGGGGGATGAGACAAAAAGATCAGGCCGATATGATTCGACTCCGAACGACTTGTTGGGGACCCTGATCCCTCCCCACCCCACCATCTATGAGACTACCCCCTCTAATCCCTGCCTTTTACCCCCTTTTAGAGACCTTCAAGTACCCAATGGCATACCGAACCCTTGCAGTTTGTACCCGTACCCTACATTTCCCATGATTAACCACCCGTTCCTCCGACGGTTTGACAAAGTCCTTTCACCTCGCTTGGTTCCATCCGACCTCCCCCACCTCCTCCTCCTCCTCCTCCTCCTCCTCCTCCTCCTCCTCATCTTCCTTGCTACTTCCTTGATCTTCTAGTTTCTTCTCAATCTCCATCCCTCTCTCTCACTCTCCTCCTCTTTCTGCTCAGTTTTCCCTCCTTGCACACTCCACCTTTCCCCACATCATCCATCTCATCCCCTACCATCTCCTCTCTCTGCATTCTGCAAGGCGCTCCAGGACATTCAGAGCAGCAGCTGTTGACGATCTCAGAACCGCCGGCAACTCCATGGCAGGAGGAATCCTCTTGTAACCATGGGGAACTCCGGGAGCTGCTCCAACTGCCGGGAGGAGGGACCGTGTGCTGACATGTGAGTGCTTCCTCTCTCCCTCCCTGCCCTCCTCCTTAACCCCATTTTTGCTGGGCTGAATGTCGACAGATGCTCGCCGCGTACTCCTGGGCAGATCGAGGAGCGAGAACAGAAGACGAGGGTGCGCCTCAAGTGAGTGTCGGTTCTCGGAACGAGAGGAGGGAAAGGAAGGGGCTGGTGAGGGGAGCAGGAGCAGGAGCGTAAGGAAGGGGCTGGGTTGGAGAAGTAGAACGAAGAGGAGGGAGGAGGAAGAACATGGAGGGAAGGGAGTTGACAGGGGCGCAGATTCCCACGGGTAACAGAGATGCAAGGAAAAGATCACTTTGCGCCCATGGATAAAGGTCTTCCCCTCCCT